AAAATTTTAAATGGACATAGTAAATTTTATTTGGGTAAATATTGACTTACATGAAAGAATAATGGATGGTTATCTGGTTACATAAATAGATAGTTATTGACTTGTATGGAGTTCACTTCTTTACTTGTCTGTATATTATTAATTGGTGATATTATGTGACAATGCTGACGTGATATCACTGTTGTAATAAATATTTTTTCTTACCTAAGAGTACTCCCTCGAATTTGCGTTTGGTATTAAGTTAATCCTCATATGTTAATATCTCTCTATATTCAATCAAATGAGAGATTATATAATGGATTTGGTGGACTTGGATTCGAGGAATCAAAATATCAATTTGTATTTATAATTAGTCAGATTCAAATACGGATTTAAAACAATTTCAAATGATAATCCAATCTTTTAACAGGAGATTTAAAATATTACAAGTAGTTTGAGGAGTTTAATTTTATATTCAATCTAGAGCTTAAAAAGGAAACAACTCATTGGATTAGCAACACCAACAACTGTATTTCCGGTGAGTTAGGCCAACTCCCCTGTTGATGAATTAGATCCTCTCTTGTTAACCAATGGTGCTTTCTTGTTTTGGCACTTAAATATCTCTATTGCTCAACTTAATACAATTTCGATTTCTCGACACCAAAATGTTTTTATTTGAAGATGTACTAAAGAACTGGTTTCAAAAGATATTGAAGGGTGATTGGTGCACGGGAGGGAGGATTATGATAATATAAGGGGATAGTTATATCGAAGGTGAATCCGATGAAAAGGTCTCTTGAGTTCTCATTGTAAGGGATGAAACCCTCCACTCAGGATTTCGGCTTGACCTCCGCGCGTTCGGGAGTAGCCTTTACCCCTCTTCCTGAGCCGGAGCCCTGGCCTAGCCTAATGTGGGGAGGGCGCACCGTATCCCACATCGGAAGAGAGTCGTCTTCCCCCCTCGCATATAAGCCCTTGCACTCAAAGGAGGAGGTACCCACTAGGCACCTATGTAAGGGATGAAACCCTCCACTCAGGATTTCGGCTTGACCTCCGCGCGTTCGGGAGTAGCCTTTACCCCTCTTCCTGAGCCGGAGCCCTGGCCTAGCCTAATGTGGGGAGGGCGCACCGTATCCCACATCGGAAGAGAGTCGTCTTCCCCCCTCGCATATAAGCCCTTGCACTCAAAAGAGGAGGTACCCACTAGCTACCTGATCAGGTGCCTTTTCTTTTTTGTATTGGAACGGCGTGAATTTTTCAGGCACATCCTTTTCTTTTTTTTTTTGCAGGGATTTTTTTTTTTTAGGCACATCCCTTGTCCCTTATCTTTTCAGTCGAATTTGATGATGTCAGTGGGCGAAAGAATAACTCGTTCTTCCCAGGGCTAGAACTCAGCAACACTTGGCATTCGCATCTTTTTTCCTCGACGTGCCTCTTTTCCATTGGCTTATTAGATCACATCTCGTCAATTAGCATGAAAATTTAGCGACCATTAATCAACAACTTGGAGAGAATTGCATTGTTAGAGTTATTAATTTGGCTGAACTTAAGCATGTTTAGATTTGGGTTGTTGTGGCTAGCTAAACTATACTATCAAACTTAAATTTGTGTTCAAGTTTGGCTTAGCAAAAGGCTTCAAGCACTCAAGTGGAATTTAAACGTATATTGGTGTTCAAGTTTGGCTTAACAAAAATTTTCGAGCACTCGAGTGGAATTCGAACCGTAATTGAGTTTAATTTTCCAACAAAAAAAATTCAATAAGAAAAAACTCTAAAGCTATAATAACTCTAGCTTCGAACTAAAAACAAGGCTTGAGTAGTTAGGATCTTTTAATTAAGTAAATATCTATATAACAAAGTACAATATAAAAATTATTTTTTATTTTTTGCAGTTCAAATCGTTTTAAATTTTATTTTAAATTTAATTCGACAACTAATATTAACTCTTTAAATTTAATAGAAAAAATAGGTTTTATAATAGTATGTTTAGAGTTACTTTTCAAAAGTACTTCTAGAACTTATGACTTCTTATAAACACTTAAAAAAAATAGTGTTTGGAACAATTTATTTTAATTACTTTCAAATAAGTCAAAAGTAGTTTTATCACTTAAATAAATAAGTAAGTAAAAATAAAAAAATAATAATAACTTTTACTTCTCTACAAAATATTTCACTACAATTGTCGTCGCTGCCACTCCACCACCACCCCCACCGCCACTATCATTGCCATTTCTACCACAACCATAATTACCATCGTCGTCACCCACTGCTGATTGTTATCACCGTCATCATTTATTATCATCATTATCTCATTCTTATATTTATTACCATTATTACCATCATCCTACCACAACCGTCGTACATCGCCACCACCCACCATCATTATTGTTGCCTATCACCATCCACTACCACAACTCATCACCACTACCACTCAATGTCAATCACCCCCATCACAACTACAACAACCCATTATTGCTATTACCCACCACCACCATTCGCCACAAAGCATTCGTCGTCGCCCACCAATACCTTTGTCACCGCCCACCACTGTTACAATTATCGTCGTCATTCCGCCACCACCATTGTCAACCACACCCACACCCCAACACTATTATCGCTGTCACCCATGATTGCCACGATCACTATCATTACCCAAAATTCATCACCACCATCATCGTTACCACCCACCACCACCACCACAATCGCTGCCGTCCACCACAATCATGATCGTCTCTCATCACCCCTGTTGTCGTCCACCACCACTTTTATCACTCACCCCCACTACGGTCGATGTTTAAATTCTTTTCTCACTATTCTATATATGTGTGATTTGATTTAGAATGTGTATATAAAATATTTATTATAGACAATTTTTTTTTATTACTCCGAACTTTCACGTAGGTACAATAATTAGTCTTGAATATTAGATCAATTATTCCAGTCCAAACTTTTCAGTAAACATGTGATCAATTAGTAGTTAATTAGATTATTTTTTTTCAAACTTATGAGTTGTGCTTTTAATGTCTCCACCCTGCATAATGATGTTCAATAGTACGCTTTTTTCGTGATGTTTTGTTTTATTTTTCACTACTTGACAATAAATGACAGAAAAATATAGAAAAATAAAAAATACCATATCTTATAGGGTCCCACCCCCACATTGTTATGTGGCAATATCAAAATTTTGGTGGCTAACTTATTTATTTACTAGTCATAACTCTTGCCTAAAGACACAATAAAATATAAAATTCGAGCGTCCAAAAAATCGATCCCACTATATTAATTTTTTTAAAACTATATTAACTATAAATTAATCAAATATTAAATAATTAAATATATGATATAAATGAATTCTGTAATATTTTTAAGGAGAAAATATATAAATGATTAAATATGTGATATAAATGAGTGATGTGATTTGACGTTTGAATATGACAAATGGATGATGGGTGAGGTACNTATAATATTTTTAGGGAGGAAATATATAAATGATTAAATATGTAATATAAATGAGTGATGTGATTTGACGTTTGAATATGACAAAGGGATGATGGGTGAAGTACGTGATTTGTGATGGTTTTGAGGGAAAAAATATAACTAAAATAAAATTTAAACACACTCCTGTTTTATTATATAAATTTATTGTGGCTAAGCATACCCACGTAAGAAAAAGCGGTGATATGATCTTCCATAAGTTTTGAAAATTGCTTTTTGTCCCTGTAATTTTTCTAAAAATTTTAAAACATTATTTAAGCTGTTCTTACTCGAGAGTAATAATCTTTTTCATATAAATCTTCCCAAACTAAGGTTTAGAAAGAATTGGGAACTTGAGAATTGTTGGGGGTTGTGGATCCAACATGTGTGATTTTTCTTTTATTTTTTTAAATAATAAGGATGTGTTGATTAAAAAAAATATCATATTCATTTATCGAATTAATGTAAATAGTAGAATTAGTGGATCCCGTTAAAACAAATTAATGGGACCAACGAATTCAACCATGCAATTTGATTTTATTAATACATTTAATAAACTGTCTTGGTAAGCATGACAACATCTTTTTTAGATTATCAAAATTTTAAGAATTGTAAGTAAAATTTGTTTGTAGGAATTATTAAAGAGTTGTCCACTTCAAAGTAAGCTAAAATCTATCACTATATAAAAGGTTGGTAATCTCGTGGGAAATCAAATTTGTACTATGTATACATTATTTCGTGACAAAGTTAGTTCAATAAATACCAAATCTATTTATATTCGCGATAATCAAACTCGTATATTTTTAAATTCAAGTTAACATAAATCTTATTCAGGTCTCACCTAAAAAGGAAAAATTCTTATCCGGAGAGTTTTATATTTCATCCGTTCTTAAATATTTGTCGTTTTACATAATTTTTTTGTTCCATAATATCTGTCGTTTTATAAAAATAAAATATAATTAATATTTTTTCTTCCAAATTTACCTTTATCTCTGTTTTCCAATAAGTGCTTAAAAAATGAAGTGTAAACTAAATGACTTTCATTTTCCTTTCTTTTCTAATACGTATTTGAGTAAAAATATTTTAGTCTTGTGTAATTATTTTTTACTCATATTAGAGTTATTTAATGACTTCTTTAATCTCTATACAAAAACTTTAAACGATATATATTTAAAAATAAAAAGAGTATCAATTTCGTGTCTATCGGATTTAGGTCCTTCTTAAAAATTACCGACATTAATTGTACACCAAAGTAGCAACTAAAAGAAAGCAGGGGGGGTGTTTATAGAGTGTCGGCTCAGCCATCTATGATGCCATCTCTAAGATAATTTTTATTCGAATCTGTCTGGCAATTAGAGTAGGTAAAGGACCAAATTATATTGACTTATTTCCAATTTTATTCAACAAATTACCAATAATACCCTTCAACTACCACCACGAGCCTTACCAGACACCATGTGCCTCCACCACGGCACGCCATCAACACCCCAACCCTATACCAAAACCTTCCCTATAAAAGCTCCTTTCCGAGACTTCTCTGCTCTCTTCAGGTACCACCCATTCCCACAAATAAGGGGTACCTTCTTTCCCTCTCCAAATCACACACACAGTGTCCAAGAACACAGACCCTTTTACCCACAAATCTATGGCTCTCACAAGCACCAGTACTCTTCTCCCCAACAAATCGATTGGTGAAACCCAATCTCTCCTACCTTCGTCCAAATCCCACCAATTTTCTCTCTCCACCAACCTTACCAAACCCACCAGATCAATCCAACCCATCTCGGCCGTCCATTCCTCTGAGCAGTCCAAAAACCCCATTGTCTCTGATAAGCCTCCAAAACCAACCACATCGGCTAAAGCAGCCACCTCAACGGCAACAACAACGGTGACAAACCCAGAAAGGGTCTCCAAGAAATGGACCGTGGACAGCTGGAAAACCAAGAAGGCTCTTCAACTTCCGGAGTACCCAGATCAAGAAGAGCTCGAATCTGTGCTCCGGACTTTGGATTCTTTTCCTCCGATTGTGTTCGCTGGGGAGGCCAGGCATCTGGAGGAACGCCTTGCTGAGGCTGCAATGGGCAATGCGTTTTTGTTACAAGGTGGTGACTGTGCGGAGAGTTTCAAGGAGTTCAATGCTAATAATATTCGTGACACTTTCAGGATTCTCCTCCAAATGGGGGCTGTTTTGATGTTTGGTGGCCAAATGCCCGTCGTCAAGGTCACATGTTTTGCCTCTCTCTCTCTCTCTCTCTCTCTCTCTCACTTGATATTGTGTTTGTGGTGAAATCGAATTGAATTTAAAATAAGGGTGTTGGTCATATAGGTGGGTAGAATGGCGGGTCAGTTTGCAAAGCCGAGATCAGACCCGTTTGAGGAGAAGGATGGTGTGAAGCTACCGAGTTACAGAGGGGATAATGTTAATGGAGATGCTTTTAATGCGAAGTCGAGGATTCCAGACCCTCAGCGGCTGATCAGGGCCTATTGCCAATCAGCTGCTACTCTGAATCTCTTGAGGGCTTTTGCCACCGGAGGATATGCTGCTATGCAGAGGGTGACTCAGTGGAATATGGATTTCACAGAGCACAGTGAGCAGGGTGATAGGTTTGTTCATTTCAACCTCAGTTTGATTTTTACGGTATTTGTTCATTCTTATTTGGCTTGGGCAAATTTTCTTGAAACTAACTTCATAGCACCTTATATAACAAAAACATACTAATTTTCTGTCGCTCTCACTAATTTGTTTTTTACAGTTTTATGGTTTGGTGTAAAGCTCTAAATACAGCACATGATGAAATTTAATCCTTAACTTGATCACCGTACATTTAATTGGTGAATCTATTTCTAGAAATTACAAAAATTGAACTTTTACTTTTTTTTTTAAATCAGTGATTTGTTTTCTGGAAAACAAATCATGGGCTTCAATTAGTAGGATCGGTGAGTTAGGTTTATATATACTGGATTCTTATTGGTTCCATATGTGAATTGTGGTGGCATTGTTCTTGTCGTGGCATGGCAGATACCGGGAACTAGCTCACCGCGTGGATGAGGCCCTTGGATTCATGGCTGCTGCTGGACTTACTATGGATCATCCTATCATGACAACCACTGAGTTTTGGACGTCTCATGAGTGCTTGCTTTTACCTTATGAGGCAGCACTTACTAGAATGGATTCAACATCTGGCCTCTACTATGACTGCTCTGCACATTTTCTTTGGGCTGGGGAGCGAACCCGGCAATTGGATGGCGCTCATGTTGAATTCTTGAGAGGAATTGCTAACCCACTAGGCATTAAGGTAACTGATGTTGTATAATTTAGATATTTTATAATATTTTGTAGGCGTTGTGTTTGTATTTGAATCCATGTGGCTGTTTAGGTGATTTGATTTACAAATGCCCAGTGAGATTAGGCAGCTGATGAAAATTGTTCTTATGCCACAGGTGAGTGATAAGATGGATCCAAGTGAGCTAGTCAAGCTCATCGAGATTTTGAATCCTCAGAACAAGCCAGGAAGGATTACAATAATCACGAGAATGGGAGCAGAGAACATGAGGGTGAAGCTTCCCCATCTGATCAGGGCAGTGCGAAGGGCTGGGCAAATTGTCACTTGGGTCAGTGATCCTATGCATGGAAACACTATCAAAGCTCCCTGTGGTCTCAAAACTCGCCCCTTTGATGCAATTAGGGTAAGATGTTTATCATCCTGCTTATATTTGTTGTTTTGCCTAGTGACATTCATAGTGAAGTCATGCAAAAGACAACTTCAGGCAGAAACCAGAATTTGGAAATTTGTTTTGTGTCATTACTGTATAAGATTTTGTACATAGGAAAATAAACTAACTGCACAAGTATGATAAAAATAATCTGTATACTAATCTGACAATGTGCACAGTGCCAAGCAAAGCTTTTGTGTTCTAAATCTATTGCTCTGGTGTTTGCCATGTACTATCTATTTAGTTTGATTTTTTGCAATATGTTTCTGCTCAAAACTCATGGACAAACATATTTTGTGCCATTATAGGCTATTGAAAGTTGGGTAATTGGGCCGTAGTCTGGTCTGGAAATCTCTTCACTGGTCAATGATTGCTTCCATAAAATACTTAGTAACATTACCGTACTGGAATGTAACTTTCGGCAACATATAGAAAATGATTGTCCGCTGTAGATCTTTGTTTGGTTATATGTATTCTTTGAGCGCGAAAATTATATTATAAAGTGAAATAATAACAAGAAAAAATTATGTGTCACATTTTGATCGGAAAAAAAAATAGGTATCATACCAAAACATAACTTTTCAGTAACTTAGTCGGATAATAGAATATGTATTCATGACCATGTACATGATTTTGGAAAAGTGTCCATTCTGTTGGAATAAGTTAATCATTCAAAAACCGAGTGATTGAGACTTGACTTTTTCTTGAAGTGGGTCTACTGGCCCAACCACCTTGAATAATTGGACTTCTATCAATTACTCGGAAGCTAATTTTCATTTCCTAGCAAGACTTGGGACAAGAATGTGAAAAGATGTAGTAAGTAGGTAGGGAAATGCAAAACGTGGAAGAGGGGTTTAGGTGGAACAGTCAAATGAGATTCCTTGAACTTGTACGCAGTGATGTAAGTGAGAAATTTCTCTAGTGTATAAGCTGGTTGCGTGTCCTTATCAGTGAGTTCGCTTTGACTCTGGAACTCATTTTGGTAGTTGGAGGCGTTGTTATTATTTTATTTTATTGTAAGTTTGAAAATAACTGAGAATTTGGAGCTTGTAATGGGTTAGGCCTGGGGATGCTGATGTTAAATATTGAATTTAATTTTAAATTCTATCCGAGTTTCATGGAAAAAGGTCTCTATCTTCATCAAATTATAACAAGTGGTAAATCACCTTATAATAATTTTATATGTTGTCTTGACAGGCTGAAGTCAGAGCATTCTTTGATGTCCATGAGCAAGAAGGAAGCCACCCAGGAGGAGTTCATCTAGAGATGACAGGCCAAAACGTAACCGAGTGCATTGGTGGATCACGGACCGTGACATTTGATGACCTCAGCTCACGATACCACACACACTGTGACCCTAGGCTGAATGCTTCTCAATCTCTTGAGCTTGCGTTCATCATTGCTGAGCGCCTAAGAAAGAGGAGGATTGGATCCCAGCAGGCATTGGCGTAATAAAAGCTTGGAATGGCATATCAAGGTCCTCTGATGAGTTTCTTCTTTTTTATTTTAATATTGTCTGTAATGTTTTATTTAATTTTGGATCTTATTAGTTTAAGACTACGTGATGTGTTCTATGTGTATACTGGAACTCTGGAAGAGAATGATGGTTTGAGACTTTGATAAGTGGGAATAAAGCATTGTGTGCTTATTAGGTCTGTGTATTTATACTTGGTGTTTTGGTTGCTGAGGAAGTATTTATCTTTTGGTACATAGTCTGGTGGAGTTTGTAGTCACTTCATATTTGGTTAGATGAAGACAAATACTGGTGTTTTTCTGAGACCCACTTGGTAGAACATGGATCAAGTATAAAGTAATGAGGTGTTCTTCCTAGGGGTGTAACTTGGGTTGGGCAACTCAAATTTAACCTGAAAAAATTAAGGCTTAGGCTAAGTTTTTTAATACTTAAATTGAATTTGGGTCACAAAATTTCAACCCAATTTTAATTTGGGCGGTCCTCAAGTTGAGTTATCAGGTTATGGGTTGAACCTGAATATTAAAATCGGGCCAACCCGATTTAATAATCAGGTTCAACCTGAATTAATATTATATAAATACAATTTTATAATTTATACTAGAGTTAATCTAAACTCAGTCTGCGCCTAGTGAGCTCACATCGCCTCCACCTCTCTTCGCCATCTCTTGCTCATCACTCTCACTTTGGTCGCATCTCACTTAGATTGCCTCCACGTATGATCTATATGCTCTCTCTCCCTATCCCCCTCCTTTTCCGTCTTTAGATAATGAAAAATCATTTTAGACATGCCTCTCTGTCTTCAGATCTCATATGTCCCTCTTTCTCTGGTGTATGTCTTTTTTTCCCTCGCATCGGTCCTTTCTCAACTGGATATAATAGGAGTTATAGGTGTTGTTGAAGACATGGTTGAATAGAAGTGTGCATTTCTGTATAAATTAGAACTTTAAAACTAAGATTTCATTACTATGTATCTTGTTGATAGCTGCACAGTAAATGAAGTTGGTGTTTATTGCAGATTCAAAACTAGTGGAAAAATCTAGTATCCTGGTCAACCCGAAATCATTAATCCAAATCTAATCTGAACCCGTCCGAATTAAACTCGGACAATGCTTGGGTTGAGTCTATCAACCCAAGGTAGGGTTAGGGTTAAGGTTGAAGAGTATATACCTAGGATATATGTTTGATTTTTATATAATTGTATACGAAAGCACCTTTTGGGTCATTTTCAAATGCATTCTGGAACCTGCATATACTTGAGTTTGGTCTCAGCATATTCCTTCTGTCCAGTTTCTCTTACGTTGCCCATCATATTAATCGTAGTCATGTCAGGTTATTTTTTTTTTTTTTTTTTTTTGGTTGTTGCTAAAAAGTGTCTAAACTTGTGTTAAACTATTTCTTCGAACTCTAAGTCGATCATCATAAATCGAGCTAATTTATGAACGTGTCTCAAAAAAAAAAAGAGTGATTGATCTTTGAAAGGTGTAAAAAATAATAAATTTGAGACCTTTTACTTTTAAGAGGACAGATTTAACCACCCTTAAGGGTTTTATAGTTAATGCCAATGTATATGGTCATTTTCATGTTCATGTCATATTAATTTTATGCTGTGTGCATTTTAGTGGGTGTAAAATTAGCACTCCCATCTTTTTCACCTATAGGCCAGAGCTCGACGTGTAGTTGAATTAGTGAAACATGGAATTGCTAAATCAGATCCAAAATGTATAGAGCATGTAAAGCTTGCGACAAAATTAAGCCACCAAGAGCATGCATCACAGTCGAATGCTTGTCACGGGTCCATTTTAACTTTGATAGAAGTGGATCACTGCGCTCCTTGATCCTGAGGTTGCTCGCGATGACATTCCTGGATTTAGAAAGTCATAGAGCTATGTGCTTCCGCATAAAGAAACTATACATATGGGTGGTGTTTGGATCACCATGGAAGGATTGGATTGGATTAGATTTGAATTTGAATCCAATGCAAAGTAGTCTGAATTAGAGGATTATAAAGTTCGGATTCAAATCCTATCCCATCTTTGGATAGGTTTCATTTGGTTTGGTTTGTGAGCCCTAGTCACGTGTGAAAATAAAACATACTAAAATGACCATTTCACCCTTGTGTAAAAAAATATTATGCAATCTTATACCATGTTTTGGAATAGAATGAAAAAAAGTCAAATTCATTAATATTGTCTTATTTACGAAAAAAATATGAATCAATAAATTACGCATTTTTACAAAATATTACAATAAATATTTTGTTCATTTATTTAATTTAATTTGTACAATACATTTTTAATCACANCACTTTCATTTAAAGTTGACTTAGACCGAATATTTTCACACTTACTCTTAAATCATGTGCTTGCACGCTACATTTTGTCAATTGAGAGACAATTTCTAACAGTACTAATTTAGTTTAAAAGTATAAGGAAGTTATGTGCTAATTTATGAACATTGGGGTAAAGTGCAAAAAAAATCGAGCCACTAGGGTAGAAAGTGAATTTTAATTTGGTTAATTGCTCATCTTCTCCGGCTGTTTCGGCTCCATAACTTCAACAGAGAGAAAGAGTGATACAGAGAGAGAGAAGCTTCTGGAAGTGCCCAAGATCGATGCTTCCATGGAAAAGTCAGAACCCATGCATATATCTGATGCGAAAAATTAGAGCCTATGTGAAACGCCAAATATCGATCAAATGAAGAAAGGAGAAGAAGATACAGACAGATCTATACACGGAGGTAAGTATTTAATGTAGAAGATATTTTTGATTTTTCATATGTAATCTTACTTCACAATTTTAAATCACATACAGAAAAGATTGTTCAACGGCCTGCAAAAGGGATTATACCCTTCAAAAGATACAACAGAGGAAATGAAAAGCAACGAAAATTACATCCCAAAAACTTACACAAACCAAGATAAGTGAATCCATTCACAATTTAATCCAATTTCCCCTGTAATCCCCCAAATTCTTTGATCCAAACACCAACATGATATTCCTCGACAGTTCAGGTGTCACGGGATAACTCACTTTTTTTAATTTTTTCTTACAACAGAGGTTACCCCTGATAGCGTTGTTTTAACAACCAGTCACTCAAACACGAACAACGGACACACACACATAAAGTCAACCCACACATTTATGTGGAGAACAGTCTCCAACCTTGTATAGAATGGTCACACAAGTACCAGGAATCTCAGACTGGCCAAGGATTCTTTGCCTATACATTATCCTGACATCTGCTATTTATACACAGAATCTGACGGTTGTCACCCCCAACAACCTATAGTTTACTAGCCCACCACCCAATCGATTACAGAAATCTATTGTCAATCTATCCAATTTATCAAATTTATTTATCAATTTATTGTCGTTTTTAACTTATTTATCAAATTATAATTATTTTAAAAGCGGATTTAAAAAATCCGACTTCATTTAAAAAACGGATTTAACAAATCCAACTTTATAGGGAAAGTGAACATACCAAATTTGACTTCATTTAAAAAGCAGACATACTAAATCCGTTTTTTAATATTTCATCTAATTTTCTTACTGGGATACCACCCGAAATTCTTGACTTTATATATTTTTTACCTAAAAAATAAATCATTCATTTTTATCATATATTTAATTATTTAATATATGATTAATTTGTAATTAATATATTTTAAAAAAATTTAATATAATGGAATCGATTTTTTAGATGCTCGAATTTTATATTTTATCGTGCTCAATTGCCTCCCATGATCAGGACATGCATAATAACCCATCTCAACCACATGGTCTCATGTATTGAACAGACATGTGCTCACAAATCAACAGCCAATTCTTGCCCACAAACTATCAACCATGTTAAGTCAATTCTATACCATGCATTTCGAAGCCGTACATTATTATTTTAATTGAATCCACCACGTGTTGCCATCTTCATCATTACTTTAATTGAGCCCACCATGTGCTGCCATCCTCAGACATGTGGTCTTTCGCAACTATGGATTCCCATAATTTGTCTGGTTTCGCCATCTATCTTGCATTCTCTTGCGCACCTTGCCCTACCCGTGCGAGCATCCTACATGCCTTGCTTGGGCATGCCAAGGCTGGGGGCATAAAGGTTGCCTAGAGCAATTTCCAAAGGGATATGAACGCAATGAGAGTCTGGGACATAACACCAGGACTTTTGTGCATCACTTTGCTTCAAACTCATGGAGTGCCTTGGTACAAGTTGCCACCAAGACACGTTCCTTCTCTGGCTAAATCAATTAGGGTGTAACACTAGACAACAATGACGGATCAGAGCAGCAACACACCGATTTGACTGTTGACCGGTGATGCAGGTGTCTAAAGCTTTGATAACTGATGTGTTATGATCCTTGTATTCAGGATCATTAGAGATGCTACACATCATTTCGTAGGTGGGTTAGTGTTAAAAACACAGGACCTGATGTCTGAGCTCGGGGATGGTCCGAAAGGATTTGAAGTTCAAAGCCAACTAGAAACTACCTAAACAACCATACTACTTCAAAAGAGCGCTGGGTCTACAATTTGAAGTTAGGATTCAAGCAGAAAAGCATGAAGGAGACATTATAGACCAAAAAAACAGAAAAAGAAGTGAAAAATTAAACTACCTTGAAGAATTCCCATCCCTTAAGATCATCAGGAATATAAAAAAGGTCAGTATGAATAGCACAATGAACCTTAAAAGTCAAGAGAGACACTAGATAAGGCAGTCATTACCACAAACATGAAACCGGAAAAACATCTTCTAAAAAAATTTGGAGTTTTCTCTGGGCATGGAACAAAGCCGCACCAGATGCCTCAAATGTTGTAAACAAGTCCTGGATCTTTTCATTTGAGTGTTTCAAGATTATGGTTTCAAGCAGCAACAGATGGTTTGGAAGCAGCAGAAAGCCTGGACCTTTTCTTGGCTAAGCTCTCACTACGTCTCTCTCTCTGCTCCTTCAATCTGGTAGCAAGGAGCTTCTGGTACTCAGCTGCCTCAGACTTGGCCTTTGCAATTCTTTTCTTCTTGTCTGCAATTCTGGCTCGTTTCCTCTGCAAAGTCAACGGAGTGACCAATCTCTGTATCTTGGGAGCTTTACTGACCTTCTTCTCTGTCAACAACACAAGCACCAGCCATCCAATTAAATGTTGTCCTTGATCATAAAATTTACAAAACTACAGATACACCCTTGATCTACCATTATACCAGCCCCATAAATAAGAGCAAAGACGAAATACCACGATAATTGTAGTTCTTCTAAACCAGGCAAAAGCAGACCAACTTACTGCCTTGCATCCACAGTCCACTGGGACAAAAAACATTTATACAGGTATAAAACTGAATAACCCACCAGATTTTGTAGTGAATGATCGACGGTACGTGTTGACATACTTTCGAACATCATCCTCCTTGGAGAGGTTGAAGAGTTTACGAATTTTGGATGCCCTCTTTGGACCTCTCATTCTTGGTTTCTCCGTGTCAGTTAGCCCAGGAAGATCATTCTCGCCCTTCTTCACAATAACCAAGTTCAGAACAGAAAGGTCTGGGCTGACAATGCACCCCCGCACAGACTTCCTCCTCCGTTCTCCATTGCGCCTACCATATCCACGGAAACATGGTGTCCCTGTCAAACCAAAATAAGGTAGTTGAAAAACAGAATCTCATGAGAAAGCGCACACAAAAAAAAGAAGCTCTAAGACCATGTCTTTACAATTAATTAGGAAAGAGGGTGGTGGGTTTGGTGTCCACCCATAAAATGGTCATCATACCATAAGATGTATATAATAACCACCTATAACTCCTTTTTTCATATTAACCTTAATATCTTTCCAAATGACCACCTTATAACCACCGATAATTTTCTTTTAACCACATTTAACTCCTAAATTTCCTATCTAACCATACATTACAATCTTGATTTATCAATTCCAATATCTTCTCACTTCTGTATCTTTCTCTTTCTGTCTATCTGCACACAGGTACTGTGTGTGCATGACCTCTAGTGAATCTAAAATGCCAAAGATAAACCACAACAGCTGGTAGGGTCCATTGTGGATATGATACAGAACACTTGAACAGGATAGTAGACAGACGACACAAACCTCTGTGGAGCAGGAGACGGACGCGGCCAGGAGTTAACACTCCCTGTTTCATGGGGAATCCTTGCTTGTCGCAGCCTCCCATGATTTTGAAAACATAGCCTTTAAATTCCTACAAAGCATAAAAAAGTCTCTGAATTAATATAGAACTCAAAGTGGAATTGATAGTTTTGGCACTAGAGAAGAGGAGGAAGGCATACCTCTCCAAGAGCATCTCCATTAACCTCCTGTGAGATCCTCTTGTCAAAAAATGCTCGGCTAGAGTCAATCAAGGTGGAAAAGGTAAGTAAACAATTAAAAACAACAAATATGGAAAAACTAATACACAAAATTGTCAAATTAAGCTGCAATGAGGGTTTATTGCTTGCCATCCAATACTTCATATGTGTGAATTTTACTAACAAGCTAACAGAATTGCATGTACCGGATGGCCATAATTTTTCCAAACCCATCATTGTGGTTTGAGTAAAAGTTGCATAAGCATATGTAAGGATGTTAGTTGAACAAATGCTCAAGGTTATAAGAGTAATAACAATGAGAAATCGAACACAGGTGTGACCACTTTCCTAGCGGTTTTGTAGGATATGAAGCAATCCATATCAAAAGAATCCTTGGCAGATCCCAACCAACTGTATAACATTCACACGAATTCGATCTGCTCCAATTGGCCAAGACACACCTTTGATTCAATTGCAAGGACCTTATATATTAAAGTTTCAACATCCTTGTGTCTTAATTGAAGTTTTCTAGAGGTTTTTGCTATTGGTACAGATTTATGAGCATTACTATTCAATTTTTCAGGTCGTGCGACCCAATGGGTTTTTATTGCACAAGTATGACTCCTTGGTTGTTCCTGCTTTCAAAAGCTAAACCAAATCGACTCTATGACTCAAAAGTGACCTTAGTCAACATTCATTAATACAGTTTGCAACCTGGGGAAACCACCAATGTCAGCCTTTCCCTGATTAAAAATGCCTCCACAAACCATTCACCCTCCTCAGACCCTAAAATGTACCACCATTAACATTCTTCTACCAAACAAAAATATCAACCCCAAAAATTCCCTCCATTAAAAGTTTCAACAAAATTAGAGTTCTAGCAAAATTTTCTGACCCATAAAACCCATTTCACTACAGTGTAAGCTGACATCAAGTTACATCATCCAAAAAATAAAGGAAAAATGCAACCGTAAACCCACATTTATGGTATCCATCTTAGGATATCTAGTTATGATCATTTCTCCTATTCATACCACAATTTAATGTCACTTTCCGTGATGACCCAATTCAAGACAATTGATTCTTTCTACCAGCCTTACACAAAAGACACTCACGATGTAGGCTTACTAAGGATGATCTAATGTGCCGGATAAAATTTTCTCAAAATTCCAATTCAGAAAGTTTCCTTTTACATCAAGGTCTACATAAGTGGAATTCTTAACTTCACATTCGAGAGAGTCAGAGACTGATTTTCAGCTTTAGTAATAACCACTCCACTAAATTACCAAACGATCACATTATAATCATCTTACCACTAAAAACCCATGGCAGATATAAAAGTTACACATTTTAACATAAGGATTTAGGCACCAGATACATTCCTAACAATGTGACAACTCCAGAAGCGATTATGAAAATTGTAAAGACAAAAGAGCTATTTGAATGCCCCTTAGGAGATTAAACTTCCACAATCTTATGAGAGGATAATGTTTAGGAGAAGATTGTTTCAGCAAACAAAGCCTCAGAAGATGCACACGGGAATTTCTTCCAGTAAAATTCAGTTGCAGAATAAAATTACATATCGCATATCACACCAAAACAACATATAGAAATATGTATCAATGAAGTACATTACAAAGATACATATGGAAGTATTAATAAGCATACAAACTTATAAAACCACGTGGGTGAATGGCGCTCAATTCATACATCTAAAACGCATTATAAGCTTTGAATTCAATTCACATCAGCTACAGAACTCCCCCCATTTCTACGACTTAAAACCCTAAAATTTTCCGGCCACGATTAAGAAAAAACTCACTATCTAATGAATTTGAGACTTACAGCTTCTGATCATCGTCGATTTCGAGCTTTTTCTGGCACCCCGTTGTGGGATTCGCAATGTTGAACTGCCACAAAAACAGATACGTATATACAGTAAGAAGGAGAGATAGAGAGAGAGATTATGAATAGAGGTCGAACCTTCATGTTGGACGGAGGTTTGGTTGCACCGCGAGGAGCAGACGCTACAGCGGCAAACTGTGTTGAGGAAGCTTTCTGCTTAGGGTTTCCTGCGGCACGGTATCANTAGTGGGATTCGCAATGTTGAACTACCACAAAAACAGATACGTATATACAGTAAGAAGGAGAGATAGAGAGAGAGATTATAAATAGAGGTCGAACCTTCATGTTGGACGGAGGTTTGGTTGCACCGCGAGGAGCAGACGCTACGGCGGCAAACTGTGTTGAGGAAGCTTTCTGCTTAGGGTTTCCTGCGGCACGGTATCACAAGTAGGATATTTAAATTAGATATGCTGAATAACACTTTATCCCATTAGATTTCTAAAACTTCTAATTTCTCCCTTCAAAGATTACAAATATGATATTAGACCCTTCTAATTTGTCCCTTTTTCCCTGACCAAAAAAAAAAAAAATAACTCTTATGGTCTATTTGGTTTGCATCTCTAAAAATAGTATTCAAAAATAATTTTTTAGAAGAGTTTTTAAAAAGTACTTTTTGATATTTTTGTATTACTAAATTGATTTGGTTATATGATTTTAAAAATAATTTTAAAGTACAAAAAATAGTAAAACCTGTTTGGACAGTGATCTATAAAACTAATTTTTAACTTATCACTTCTAATCCATAAAAAAAAAAATTATCACCATAAAAATTTTCTCTCTCCAGCTAGGCAGTAAGCCTTCTAGAGTCACACAACTCTCTCTCTCCTCTCTCTCTATTATCTTCTCATACAGCATCTCTCTCTCCGTTGTCTTTTCACACAGCACAAACATACATATACACACACCCACACATACAACAAACACGCACAAAGCCATCGCACACACATACATTGCATAATACACACACACACTCACAAATATATATATATGTGTGTGTGTGTGTGTATACATATTTGAACACAGATCTGTATACATACACAAATCTGTACAGATTTGTTGCAAAGAGAAAGAGAGAGGATACGGATTGCGTGATAGAGATAGAAGGCTACAGGACTCCAAAGTTGTGCCCTGTGATTTGTCGGAGCTGTGCCTATGATTCACCGAAAAATCTTGCAGGTTCAGTCGCACTTGTGATTTGTTTGACTCTTAGTCGTCAGAGTTCTCCGGTCGTCGGAGTGATATAGAAGACGTTTGTTGGTTTCACCGAGTGTAGAGAGAGAAAGCCAGGGGGATAGGAAGGCCAAACAAAAAAAAACATAATTTTGCTCCTAAGGAGATTCGAAGGGGAGGCCTCATTAAAAAATGAGATTGTTTCCTTTGTTTTCTATTTTTGGCTTAAAAACTCATAAAACATCTAAATGATGTTCTCTAGTTTTTGTTCTCAATTTGTTTTTTTTTTTTTTGAAAAATTGTTGTTCAAACATCATCTTACAAAATTTTGTATTTTGAAAACAAAAAACTGTTTTTAAAATAACAACTAAATACGCCCTTAATATTTTGAAATGAAAAGAATGTGTTCTTTTTCATTTTTTTCACAATTTATGCTGCAAAGTCAAAACTACACTTTTAATTTTTTGAAATGACGAGAATGTGCCTTTTTTTCTCTCGCGGTGTCATGCTCCAAAGTAAAATAAAATCGTTATAAAAAAACTTCAATTGGCTAAATTGGAATTCTTAGTTTAGTCTATACATCATTATATTTTAAAGAGTTAAAATATGCGTCATCTTTGAGAACTTTTTATTTGGAAAATGAGTCTTCTTGATATTGATTGTCCAGTGTTAAGGCTTAATGGTTATTAGCAAAAGGTGAAACACTAAAAAAAAAAAAAACCTAAACTTATAGTTGAACACAATCACTTACACCAATCAATAATATAAAATATGATTGATTTCAATAAATTTATTCGACGATCTCAAATAAACTTATCTAACGACCACTAATATCTCTCTCAAAAATTTAATATCTAATTACGTCTTGCATTTTGACACATTTTACCCCTAATTAATGTATGCAAAAAGCCTTAAAAGTGTTTTCAACATGTTGTTCTATCAAGAATATTGACTCCTTTGACTTTGTTCATCAATTCTTAATGATTTTTAATTCAAAATAATAATGATTGAATATATGCTGCTAACATATAAAAAAGATTTCCTCACCAAAAAATGAAGAAGATTATGTATTATGGGGTGAAATCACACATAAGTAATTTACAACTTACCAACAGAAAAATGCATGGGTTAGTAATACATGTAATGAGTGCATCCATTTCATATTAGAAGCCGTTTACTTTTTTTCTATCTGAGTTGAAATTTTCACAAATGTGATCTCAACAATCTCATTCTCGTGTGTAAAGCACATAGGTTTTAGTTCCCTAAGAGTTTGATTAACCACACTTAATATTGTTCTTCATTTGTCACCATATCCACACTTTGTTGAAAGCCTTCACGCGTAAAGGCCGCACTTAATTTGTTCTTATCAAAAGTTGTGTTCTCATGATTTTAATACCAAGAGTTTATCACTATTCTTATGAGTCATAATTAAGATGGGCATGTTATATTGCTTCTTTGAGAGTTTATTCAAGATCTATTAGCTCTGATACAACTTGTAAGGAGACAAAGTGCCTTGTGATGCACTTTAAGCTTATAGGAAGTGAGTCGTCTTAATATATTATAACACTTCCACTTCATTTTCTGAGATGTGGGATTCCCACGTATGTCAACCTAACACTCTCTCAGTCATGCGTGAACCACATCAAACTTAATTTCTTTCTGAATCTAATTCCCCATTATTTACTAGTACCGTGTCCTATTGTAGCGACCTAGTGTATGGTTATCAAGAATTGGCTCGGAAATAGGGGTGTATGTACAATGTCATCCTTTTGAAAAACCGAAATCACTGTACTGTCGTCATTTTGATCAAACCCCTGAGATTCTTAAGCCTATAAGAGAACGCTGGGATCGGTACAGGGGACGAAGGAGAGTTGGTTCGTGGCACTAGTATCTGATGCTGTGTGGGGTGTTGGATTTGGGTTAGAAGTGTGTCCGATGAAGAGAGAGGATGTCGAAACACAAGTTTAGTTTAGGCGACATAGGTTAGCGCATACCGGAGAGTTAAGGGTGCAAAAGTGTAATTTGAGGATGAAATTAGATGTCTAAGTTAGCAATACTGCCACTTCCGTAGAAGGAAAGGTTAACCTGCCATCTTGTGCTGGTGCAGCTGATTTTTCACAGTTCCGTATCTTGTGGCTTGCAGGATGTTCACTTGGAGGTTAATTCCTTGGAGCATTTGTTAGTTTATACTCCATCAGGCTATTTGATTAAACCTGAGCTTCTGCTATCAATTGAGGCAGAGCTAAATGAGAGTGATCTAGCAACTCAGTCTGGCTCATATGTACATTGGCAAGATGAGGAGTAAGGGTGAAAGTTGAACCTGTTCAATGGTGGGATGTGTGTAGAAGATCAGATTGTCTAGAGAGAGAGAAAGGAATGTTTTTCAGAGACTACTTTTGATGCTCAAGAAGCTGGAGAGAACAAAGTTTCTGGAGATAAATCTGATTCAGTAAAGCTCCCTGAGAGATCCCACTTGTATCTGTGACCTCCAAAAATTAAATAGAAAATTTTCTATGATGTGATTTAATATGCATGTATATATATATATATATATATATATTAAAATTAATTTTTTGTATTTGATGTTATTTACCAAAATGTCATTACATGGCTACCACTTCCAAGCAGCTTGCTGGCTGCGTTTTGAGGTCCTCTACCACATGCCGTCCACCCAGCTTCTTGGGGAGATGACAAACACATTTGCTGGTTGGCTGGATAGGATAGAATCAACAGAAAGTGAGAGAAATAGAAGAGAGAAATAGAAGAGAAAAATTAGAGAGAGAAAGTGGAAGCTTGAAGAACTCAATTTCTATAGGTTTGAATTTGGGCAACAAGGGGTATATATCTAGCCTAATTAGGTGTTAGCATTCTATTTCTGATGCTTAAAACTTGTTTTGATTACTATTTTAGCAAGAATTTCTATTTTGAAGTTTTAGGGTTTTCATGTGTATTGAAACGGGTTTGAAGTTTGGAATTGTTTTAACTTAATTTGGAGTTTGAGATTGGTTTATGGGGGTTGTAGATGAAGTTTAAGGGTGTTTGGGATGGTTGTCGTGGTCGATGGTGGTGGTTTGAAGAGGAGGAAGGTTTTGCTAGGGTTTCTCAATTTCGGAATAGGTGATACTTTTCAAATTTGCTTTAAAATTATTTCACATGTTATTTATGATCATTTGTCATGTTTTGAAATATATGATTTGGTGTTTTGATAATGGCTTCAAAACTAGACCCAAATTAGGGTTTTGAGTGCGGTTACACGCAACTGTTCGAATTGATTGTATGACTCATATTGAATGAAATGTCAGGATCCTTTTAAATGAAATATAAGTACACACAGATTGAATGGCAAAGAGTTTAGTTTCTAGGTTAAGGCTGTAGATAATTTCTCATTGAGTTCATAAATGTCTAGGCGATCCTGTTAGTCTTCGGACTTGGGTACCGAATTGATTTTACGTAGCGTATATTCCTTGGGGTGAAAATCCCCTAAAAAGTTTATTTGATTGATCTTGATGATCATATTGACTCTAAGTGGTTTGTTAGGATTATTGCTCACTAGTGTGGCACTATACATCATGTGTTTGAATTTTTTTTTACAATTTTATTTAACTGTTACTATTTTACATGAAATGACAATGTTTCTCATATATATGTATCAAGTGCTTGTTTCACTTTTGTCCAATCATATCAAGTTATGTATTTTTAAATTCGTTTGTCTGATATTAAACTACTCTACTGAGATGTTAATGCTCACCCTACTATATTTCTCATTTTCATATTATAGCTGATGGTTGAGGAGTCTGTAAAATTATAATCCGTTTGGACTCTTGAACAGTTTTTGTACAAGTGTTGTGAGCATATACATATAGGAAAAACAACTTTGGTTTAGATACTATACATGTATCTTAGGGTCTCTGGAA